GCAGAGGAAGAAATGAAGAATTATAGTAGTTTAATAATATTTTACAATAAATTGAAGCAATGAGGATCTTTTATAATAAATTCTAAACTAAATAGATAAAAATGTCGGATAGGTATTTTTTATTTTTCTTTACAATGGGTATTATAGTTAGTTTTAATACGAATAATTTGAGCCATTTCTTGAAGAAGAGGAAGAAAAGGGATATACTTTGGAGGAAAACGATTAAAATGAATTCGAAAAAAGTAACTCATTTTCTAAGATGAAAGAATTAAATTCCTATTAAACTCAAGAAACAGATCAGTAATTTTAAGAACAATTCACAGATATTATTCCTTCAATTGTGGGAAAAATACATGATGAATTAACAATCAAAATTTGCATATGTGATATTTATACCTATACTTGTGATGCAATAGTTTCCTTCTCAAATTCAGATCAGGCATATAGTTCTTCATCTGATGAGTCTGAGTTTTATAATGACAATTTAATTGAAATAGAAGCTGATGATGACTAAAATTTGTATAAATCATAATTCATTTGTTCAATTCCTCCTTGTGATTCATTCGAAGATTTCAAAGATTATCTTTAAAAACTGGTTTCTTATTCTATTATAAAAGCAAATCTTAACAATTATTATAGTATAGCATTTGATTTAAGCAGTGTTAAGGATTTGTATAAAAAGGATTATGATTCTCTAGAGGTTAAATACAATTACTATTATCATACTTCCTGGTATTTTAAGAAAAAAAACTAACTAATAATTTTACAGAGCAAATGAATAAAGAGATACATACCTACTATTATTCAGAGGACCGCATAAATTTAGTTAAATAGGAAAATTTTCAAAACTAATTAGCTAATGTAAATCAAACAATTGTAAAATAAATGAATAGCAGCCATATGAATCTTCAAGTATTAAGACTAGAACAACTTTTAAAAAGCAATCTCCTTTCCAGTATTTTTCTCCAAAAAAAATAATAATCTGCAAATCTGCACATTTATACCAACCATATCAAATCTCTAATGTACCTGATTTCATTCAATGGATCTCTAGATAAATTCAATATAAAAGTTATTTCATTCATTTTGGAGGACAAAGATTAACTTTCTGTTTGCCCATTCTATAAATCATTCTTAGAGTCTTTTTAACCAATTTTAGACTAGTACTATAAATTTCCTGATTTTGATCTTAGTTCATATGATATAGATCAGAAGCGATTCTAATTGTAAAAATTTATGCAAGAATTTAATAATTCAGCAAAATTATATACTGATGATTAATCTAAAAAAAGCAGCAATAATGCATCTTCCTAATAGAAATCAAAACAAACCCCAGAATCAAATGTAAGAAATACTTTCATCTAAACCTTATAATCTAATGCTAATTAGAATAGTGATAAGATTCGTGATTCTCTTAAATTTGGGGATATTTTACAAAATATAATGGCAGGATTATAAAATGAATTATCTTATGTCTTTTAAAATTCAAACAAACTAAGCAAGAAAGAAATTTTAGAAATTATATAAAATGCTCCATATGTTAAAAAATTATTCTAGACAGAAAATTAAGATATTGACTCAGATGACAAGTATTTATTAAATTTTTTTCATGGATTTGTTGTCAAAAGTTTTGACTAAATTAGTAATGTTCAAGGAGGTATGCAATAGATAGCTTAGAAATTTCAAGAAATAATCGTTAATAACTTGTCATAAAATGAAGAATTTATAGAATTTCTGCCTGATCTAATGACCAATTAAAATTAAAGCAAGATAATATCAGATATTAAGGAAACAAAAAATGTTGAGAAATCAGATCAGATTAAGAGTTTGATTTCAAAACTTATTATAATAACATATAAAGAAGATCATGTTAAATATAAGGAGTAATGCTTGATGTGTAATTTCTAATTCAAGGGTAAAGATGAGGTATTAGTTCTCCCATGTGACCATAAATTTCACAAAATCTGCGTTATTGATTAATTACACGAAAAACCTTTTTGCCCTTAATGCAATTTAAGCATAGAATTAATATAATGATTAAAGATGCTAACTTGGTTGAGACATAATTATGATTTAGATTTCTAATTACTTAATCGATTATTTCTTTGTAATTGTGACACCTACTGAGCGGGGTTTTGGGGTTTTGGGG